TCTAAAACTAGGGAGCATGTGCTAGAAGTAGCTAAGTGTCACAGTGGGTAGGGCACTGGTGCTGGAGTCAGGAAGACCTGAGTTCGATTTTACTTCCAATACTTACTAGCTGTGTGACCCTGGTCAAGTCACTTAACCTATGTTTACTTCAATTTCTCCATTTATAAAATGGGCACAAAAATAGCATCAACCTCTCAGAGTTGTGGTGAGGATAAAATGAGATTAAATTTTTTAAATGCTACATTAACACTAGCTAATATGATTTTTAAAAGCCCATTTGGGACATCAATTCTTTGAACTGGGAACCATGATGAAGACAAAAATACTTCATTCAAAACTTCTAAAGAAATTTTTGCTTATACAGTAATGTAATGTAGGTAAGAAAATGATCCACCTTTTATCTTTCTCATGCATTATGTATCACCAGGGTGAAAAAAAAAAGATTTACCAGTCACATAGCAAGAGTGTGTACGCAGAGTATATGGTCTGTGTGTTCCATATTAAGATATCTAAAGGAAAAGTTCCTGCAAGTTGGGTGGTCTCCTTATGGTGGATTTACAGCAAAGGTGGGCAAGAGTCCCTCAGGATGTACTGGTATGGATACACTACAATTTGCATTTTTGAAAGGAAAACCACATCACTATCACAGATCCATTGAATTACTGAAATATGTGCCAATATATTGTCTTTAAGTTAAATTTCCTGATCTGGAATATTCAGCCACTTGATTTTTTTTTCATTTTTCTCCAGGTATATTTGACTTCCTACATTACAATTAAATGCCTCGTGGAAACTTTGGTACAACTGTTGGAATAACTAAAAAAAAATCCTAGAGGATTAATTAAACAAAGACGAGTTTCATGTAATGGGTGCCCTTCTGACCCTCACTGCTTTCACTAGCATTGAGGGTATAATTCTACTAGTATTTTGCTAGTGTGCTATATGATTGGAATCATTGTAATAAATAATACAAATAATTTTAATATCGTAAAATATTGCACAAAAGTGATGCAGGCACAATTAACAATTATCTCTAGATTTTGTAATTCTGTACAAAAAAAGGGATGGATTAGATATTAGAGCTAAACAAAACATGGGATGATGTAACATTGCACCCACAAAAAGCAAGATTTTAATTGCTGTGTCATTTGAGAAATTCATTCTCTTTCCTTACCCAACACCCCCCATCTTCCCTGCAAAATGTTCCTGGAAAAAGGCATTAGAGTTGCATAAGTTGTGAATGATATACAGATTCATTGAAGGAAATCCACTCTCTTCTAGATATCTGAATGTCAATGTTCTCAAAAAATTAAGTTTAAAGAGAAGGTTTCATATGTTCATAGTTACATGATCAAAGGGATAAGAATGAACATTTTCAGTATGTAACCTTTAGTTCTCACCTTCCGTCCTTAGATTATTTTTTCTAAACTTTAAAAATTCAAGTTCAACAAAGAATCATTCTACAGGCATCCTTTTGTTCATTAATAATATAATGTATTTTACAGAAAATAAGATACATGCTCCATCTGCTTCTAAAATGTAAGTATTGAATTGGAAATTTAAGACACAAGATTATTATAAAGGTCTATAAACATCTCAGCATAACCTTGTTCTCAATGTTTGTGCAATATCATCTGATAGTATCACTAGAATAATCTCTCCTTTCCTCTCCTGATCTCACTTTCTTGCCAACAGGTTACCATGACAACTTATATTTAAATTTCTATAAATTTCTATTTTTAGAGAACACAGGAATAAAAATTCATGTCATAAATAAGAAATGTGACGTTGTTTACCAAAATACATCAAGCTAATTTTGTACATTTATGTATTGTGATTATCTATATTTTTGTAATGTAAAAAAAAATGGATGAAGGGGACCTGGGGCACCAAGTTGAGAAAAAGGCAAGGGAAATATGTTGCCATATGTAATGAATTATCAAATTTCTAGTAATTGTGGTTTCATAGTTGGCGAGTTTAAATCATTAAAGTTAAATAGAACAAACATATTATTTCACTGAAGCAGCTACTAGACAGTACAAAATACAGATCTGAGACAAAGGATGAAGAAATAGGTACAACAAAATATAAAGGATGGTAACAGATCTACATGTATTAATGGAACCAAAATTATTCAGGAAAAGAGAATAAAAAAGTAATCCTTTTTTTTATTCCAGTGATCATGAAAGTTAAAGGACTTGAAGATATCGCATTTTAGAAATAAAACTCATGTCAATGAAACATTGTTCTGAATCAAATGATTTAATTAATTCATTTATGTCTACTATGATAACAATATTATATATGTATGCATATGCACATATACATATGTATATATTATTCCCACCTGGATCCCCCAATGCAGTTATATGCATCAAATCAGACTGATTACTCAGGGTACTGGCTTAACTGCAAACATTTTTCATAGCTCTGAGTACTTTCAGAGTCATGTTTAAAACTCACATATATCAATCACCATTTAATTACAAAGATATTATTAATGATAATATTTGCTTTTATCAAGTAATTTGAAAAGGAACTTTCCAGAGGACAAGTTCATCACCATTAGACCTAAGAAAAAGGAAAACATTAAATACTGACTAGACAACACAAACTCAAAAGTTCAAAGGTTATTTTTAAATTATTCTACATTCTTACTCTTTCCCACAGGAAGTGGATATCAATTCTATCAACCTAAATGCTGCAGCACAGCCACTAAAGTTTTAGATGACTCCTAAGTACTAGAATTTCAAAAACTATATCACAATACACCAGTACAAAAGCAACATGGGTCCACAGAATTAACAGACTTGAAACTCAGGAATAATAGCTCTTAACTTAACTCCTCTTCTAGTTGTTATTCCTCACTGTTTCTTACCTCATCTATAAAATGGGCACCCTTTCAAACTTTCAATATTATTCATCTCAGTGTATTGCAAACACTTTTGATGCAGTGGCCTGCATTTATACAGAAATATTCAACATAATGAAATTCCAGCACAATGTGGACACCTCACCATTGACCTAGACTAATACTTCCCTTGGGTTATCATGGAAAACACTGATAAAATACTGCCATTCAGATGCACCACCTGCAAACACTGATGTGTGGTGAGCCCTGAAAGAAAAGAAAAAATAAAAGAAAGAAACCTGCTTGTCTTTTCAGCCACCAAAGGAGAGGATTCTGGGGTTCTCAGCGTGAAAGCAAAAGAGAACTACAATGATCATGAACTGAAATTAGTATTTCTTTCTTCGTGAATGTTAAATCATTGGGATTAAATTTTGAGAAGAATCATCCCAAAGAAATAGAACATTTCAAAGTTCAAGTTATTAATACAATTTCTAAAGACAAAAGTGTGAACAAACCAGAGAAAGAGTGTATGAGTCTCGGTAACTTCTTTTATAAGGAAAGGAAAGAAATACTCTACCAGATTTTCTCCTCCACATTCTATCCAAAAACTAAACTTATGATCACCCTCTGCTATTCAAGACATCACATGCAACAAATCTGCTCATTTCAAAACAGGTATTATTTGAAACTAGTCATTAGACTTTGTTGCCAAGTATTATCTTACCATGGAAAAATTTGACAGAGAGACAAGGAAATGAAGATGAGGCTAAAGTGTAGTTGAAGAACCCTTTGATTTACAAATCAGATCCAATGATTTAAAAGGAAAAAAAGACACTATTTTCCCATGTAAAATTAGAACCCCTAACTATGTGACTTTATATTTATTTAATATTAAATAAATCTCTAATGATTAAATCCCTTCAAAAAAAATGAAGACTTAGTCTGGGCTCTTTCTAAGCAATGACTGAAGATAGAAACTACAAAGAAAAATTGAGTTGGGATCATATCCCAACCAAAAGTTAAAGTCCGACACAGTTTGAAATCAGGTCTGTTTTTTAAAAGAAAACTACATTGTTGACCTAAATGAGTAATTCAAGATCAAGCTATTAGTAAACTGGCTGAAAGTCTTGCTTTGGTTTGTTTTGGTGTTTGTTTTTGTCTCTAGTACAAATGTAGGATATTCCAAACAGTGTCCTAACGGGTTCTATAAGCTCCTTAAAACCAGCTCAGTGAAGTTCAGCAGACTTCCAGACCAGGAAAGGAGTGAGCTCTAAAGAGAAGTAAGATTCTCTTGACCAAACACCTTGCATGAACACACACACACACACACACACACACACACACACACATATACACACTTTCCTTCAGAGCCCAGAATACGACCCTAATTGAAGTCACTGTCCCGAACGAATCAATCTGGAAGGTTTCATTTCATTCTAAATGTTAAATCAGGATGACCACAGGGTAGAAGAAAGTAGTAAAGGTGAATGAAAAAGTGGAACACAGAAGTAGGAGAAAAGAAAGAGAGAGAGAGAGAGAGAGAGAGAGAGAGAGAGAGAGAGAGAGAGAGAGAGAAAGGAAGGAAAGAAAGAAAGAAAGAAAGAAAGAAAGAAAGAAAGAAAGAAAGAAAGAAAGAAAGAAAGAAAGAAAGAAAGAAAGAAAGAAAGAAAGAAAGAAAAAGAAAGAAAGAAAGAAAGAAAGAAAGAAAAAGAGGTAAAGGAGGTTTGAGTTCACGGGACGCCCAGGGTTTGAAATGTTAAATCAAGATGACCACCGGGTAGGAGAAAGTAGTAAAGATGAATGAAAAAGTGGAATATGGGAGTAGAAAAAATATGGAGAAGAGGTAAATGTGGTTTGAGTTTCTGGGCCTCCCAGACTAAGACTTACTCTAGTTCATAAAGTGAGGCATCTTTAATTTACACCCTATTCCCCATTCTATGTGGAGAAAGTCAGTGTGGGCTTTGTTTGGTCTACAATCCTGTGGGGTCCAAGGGCCCTTTAGGCGGCACAGGGTTGAGCCTACAAGGCCGCTTCTGGCCCCTCATAGAACCATCTTTCCAAAGACAGAGCAGAAAGGAGAGAAAGCAACCAAGAAATAACGATATTAGGGAGGAGTTTGGGGAAGAGGGTGGGTCGACCCTGGTCTTACCCTGGCGGCTCGAGAGGAGTAGGGATCCTCGAAGAGAGCCCACATCCGGGGCTGCAGCCTTTTCCAGCGGCCGGCTTTGCAGTCCGGGCCCCCCACCCCCGCCACCTCCTCGATGCCCAGCCTCTTGGCAGTCAGGTCCTCGTCGTCGCCTTGGTCGCCGCCAATAAGGTCGGGGGTCTCAAAGATGTCGAGCGCCTCCTCCGCGTCCCGGTGCTGCCTATAGGTCATCCAGCAGCAGGGCTCTACGTCGGTCTCGTCGATGCCCCAGAAGGCCAGCTCCTCCTCGAACAGGGGTCCGCACACGTCGGCTGGGCAGTGCAGCTTGCCTGTGCGGTAGTAGTTGAGGACGTAGGCAAAAACCCCAGGGTGCCGGTCGAAGAAGAACTCGTGTCCGCCGCCTCCGTGGGCGCCCCGGGGGCTGCAGTTGCTTGCGCTGCTCTCAAAACAGCCTCCGGCTGGGCCAGGCGGCAGGGGCGGAGCGGGGGGCGTCGGGGGAGGGGGCGATGGCTGCTGCTCATCGCCTCCAGTCAAATAATCGCCCTGGGGCTCCGAGGCGAGCAGAGCTAAGCGGGTCCCCGGGAGGGTCTTCAGCGTGCTGCGGTAGGTTTCGTGCCGGGTCCCCCCCACGTTGAGGATCACCCTCTCGTTGTTCTCGATCTTGCCCATTTCTGTGGCTCAGACATGACTGAGGGGAGGCGAACACACCACCGGGTTAAAGCTACAGGCAAGGCAAAAGGCCACCCCCACCCTTCCCTCACAGACCCCGCCACCCCCGGGAGGAAGTGAGTGATGACACAGAGAGTGGACAAGGGGGCCAAGAGCTGGAGGAGGCAGAATCGTCTTCGGATGCTATCTCCTCTTCATCACACCTCCCCCCATTAACCGCCTCTTCTGACTGCCCCAGTTCTTTCCTGATCCTTTCGGTTTTCCCTAGCTCACGCCCCGTGGCTCCCCCGATCTCCCCTAGAACATCTCTTCCCCCTTCCTCCCCTCGTCTTCCAATCCGTCCATTGAGTTACTGCCCCTACCGCTCCCCCTCTTGCTCTACTCTTTCCCCAAGCGCTAGGGGGCTCATCATGCTCACTTTAATGAACCTCTTTAGCACTCACAACTTAGAAACTAGTGTGTGGTAACCGCAACCCTCCCTTCTTTCCCATCTCCTAGCCTGACCTAAAAGCCCATGATTAAAAAAAAAAAAATTCAAACCCTCAACAAACCCGGAATGGACGGTTTGGTTTGCCTTTCCCAACTGAGCTGTGGGTTCCCCCAGGCTGGTGGTTTTTAACTCCCATCCACTTCTCCACTTTGCCTTACGGGATTGTCAAAAGGACTGGAGGCAGAAGTCATAATATAGATAGATGGATGAACAAATAGATAAGGCAGCCTCTTACCGAGCAGACCCTAGCCTAATCTCCTTTTCTTGCCACCTTTGGAGGGAGGGGGCGGGGCATGAGAATGGATGGCTTGGAGCTGTCTCTCTGAAGGCAAGTCTTCAGTTCAGTGCACTCATATTCCCCAGGGGAGTGGGGGAGGGGGGCACTGAAGAAAAGCATTTGCTTTCTAGGAGGGGTATAGTGCAATCCAACGCACTGAGGAGATCTCAGCGGATAGCCGTTGACAGACAGTCACAGCTACCAGCTGTTCTAACACCAGCCTCCTGCTCACCTTTCCCTGGGGTTTCACCTCTACAATCAGATGCCCAACAGCAGGAAGGGATGCCTGCCAGTCAAGTGCGCCTATCCCGCAGCATCCCCGACTCCATTCCTTCCCTCCCTCTCCATTCTTCCTTCCCTCCCTGAATACCTTAACAAGCGAGAGACCGAGAGAAAGTAGGTCTGCCTGCTTTCCGACACGACGCGGCTTTCTTGCCTGCTGGACTGACTCCCACCTGACGCCCAGCCAAACCTTCCACCGACGAGAAACTACTTGTTGGATTTTTCCATGTTCAGGTGGCTATGCCGCCTCCCTCAGCGCTGAACTCGGGAAGACACAGAAACAGCCCCCACTGCCAACCAGTCGGGCTCTCTGCCTTCATGTTGCGAGATGTACACCAGGCGTCAGCATCGGAGCCCACAGTCACCATCACAGAGGTCTGGGGAAACCATGGAGCTTTGGGTGGGTCCGAGCGGTGCTCCCCAACCCTAACAAAGAACAGATGGACTGGAGGCTTCTGAGGTGGCTTCCGATTCCGGCTGAATGTCGCTCCCCTCCTTGAAGGTTAAATCGCCTTTGCAAAGGCTAGTATTGTTTTCCCAGTTCACAAGCCAAAGCTGTCCTTTCAGCACTAATCTGTCTCCTCGTGTTCCGAGGCTTACATAGCAAGAAAGGATGGGTGGGTCTGGTAAAACCGTATTGTACCAACCGAACTCACATTTTTTTTTCCTTTCGTGAAGCTCTGTCCCCACCCTCCCTGCAGCCTCTGCCTTCTTTACACCCCACTCCCACACGCTGTTCATTCCCCACTGCCTCCCACTAGCCCACCCTCCAACAAGAGCTACTAAGATCAATTGGGATGTGTTTGCTGACAGCTGAAGGGAAAGAGAAGTCTACCTACAGGTGACAAGCCAAGCTTGTTTCTTATAGCTTATACATAGTTTCGGCTTCCTCTCTTCTCTCCAATAAAATGTGGGTTTCCAGACATCTCTTTAGAATTACATAAAAGCAAGGAGTTGCAAAAGTTTATTCCAGGAATACATCACTCCAGAAAAGAAAATGTCAGGTTACCTCTTTCTCAAAGATACTGACAACCTAGTTCCAAAGCAGTACTAACCCCCTCCATCAAGTTTCTCCCCATTATCCAACAGGTAGTTTAACAAAATATTATTGTGTATTATTTCAAAAGAGAAAATATAGGAAGGGGCAGACATGTTCCTTAGTCAGAAAATCTTAAGATTTGAAAATGAGGTGTATTGGGGAGATCTTTGTGAAAGACAAAGACTGATTTTTAAAAAAAGGAAAACGAAAAAGAAATTAATTATGCTAAAGGCAACATGCCTTGGAAAAAATTAAATACATATTGTGTTTAGAGCACTGTAAGTATTTGTGCTTAGAATTCAAGTGACTTTAAGACTTAATATTGACAAATGACAATTTTACCTTAGGAAAACAATTTTTAAAAAATATTACTAAAAATGATAGGAAGTGATGAGAAATGGAAATTGCAGAGACTTGGAGTTGCAGAGTAAAAAGTACATGTAGATTATTGTGTACATCTTCATATATGCCTCAATCATTTCTATTAACATGATAAGAACAGCATTGGGTTTGTTTTTGAATAACTTAAATGTCAGGATCCTTCCTGTAAAATCACAAGAGTGTACTAAGGTTAAGATGGAATTTTCAAAAATGCCAGTGAGAGATAAAAAGAACTTTGAGTTGTACTGCATTAAATTTGTATTATGAGAAATGTGTGGAGAGATCTAAAGGAATGAAGCAAAGGATGCAAAGCACCTGAGAGAAAAAGAGGGAGGAAATGTTCTAATTAATCAAGGCTTTAGAATATTCTGGGATTTCATGTTAGAAGGACTCCAAAACATCTTATAAAGAATCAAAAGTGAGATTATAGAATATATCAAGAAAGTACAACAGTAAGAACATAACAGGCAAAAAGGATATGTAATGTATGTCAATCGATACATAAGAAAATGAATGGGATTCAATCTTTTGTGAGATTTCTCTGCATCACATCCTGCCAATGTTCAAGGAAAACTACCTAAAACTTATAGCCTGCCTTTCTTAAGTAAGACATGAGGCGAGAAGAGGAAAATCCTCTACTAAAGGTACTCTTATGACTTATTTGAAATCTGTATGTATACATATATATATATATATATCTAAATATGTAGATATGAAAGTGACAGGAAAGGAAAGGTCTAAAATATAATGATAAAAAGAAAAAGAAAAGGTTTTTCTTTATTAGTTGTGAATCCAATACAGTTTCTTTTGCTTAATTTGTTCATATAGAAAAAGGAATAAAAAGAAAGCATTGACCATTTTTGCTAATAGAGAGGATGCTAAAGTGCTGTTTTCTTTGCAACTCCAAGTAGCTGTCACAGAGGGTTTAACAAAAAGAAAGAAAGAAAGAAAGAAAGAAAGAAAGAAAGAAAGAAAGAAAGAAAGAAAGAAAGAAAGAAAGAAAGAAAGAAAGAAAGAAGGAAAGAAGGAAGGAAAGAAAGAAAGAAGGAAAGAAAGAAAGAAAGAAAGAAAGAAAGAAAGAAAGAAAGAAAGAAAGAAAGAAAGAAAGAAAGAAAGGGAAAATTAGTTGGAATCAGTACCAGAAAGAAGGGGGGGAAATGAGTGGATGGTTCAGAATCCAGTTCAATATCATTCCTGATGAAATTGACTGTGCCAATTTGGTTCTATCTTGTAAGTGATAACTGCAGGAGTGCCTTTAGCAACACTCCCCTATTAGCTTCCCCAGGGAGTCTATTCAGTGGTTGAATTCATTCATTCAAATTTGTAAGCTCCTTGCTAAGCTTTTCGTAAGATGAAATAAGATACAGTACCTGTTTTCACTAGGCTTACAATCTAACAGATCAATAAAATAGGGACACAACTAAAATAAACATTATTTTATGCTAACTGCATAGAAGAGATCCAAACACAAGTCTGAAATGAATTAATTAATGAATTTGAGGAAAGAAAGATCACTTCCAAATGGGAGCATCAGGAAACCATTATGGAAGTGGTGGTATCTGAGCTGGGACTTGAAGGGAAGGAAGGATTTCAACAAGCAGCAAAGGAAGGAAGAAAATGCTATACATTCTATGCATGACATGAGAGAAAGCATGGAAATGGAAGAAGACATATTGTACTGGTCACATTGACACATTTTTAAGAGCTGACATCTAATATGTAAAAATAAGTGATAATTTCTGGGTAATGTAGTAGAAATTTCTGTGATAAAATAACCTTTGAGAGTTTTCTTAATTATACAATTAGATCTTAAGAATGAAGTTTTCCTAAGCTTGAGGTCTCATAATTGTTGGGTATGTCATAGTCTACCACCAAGAGTGAGGCCTTAGAGCATGAATCACAAATAGGTCACAAAAATCTCATTCCAAAATGTAAATACTTGAAAAATCTTCAAATGAAAACCAACAGCTAGTCATTAATGGCCTCATCTGTACAATATACTTTAGGTGTTTTGCAAACTAGCTAACTAATCCACTGTGGAATGTTTTAGGCATGATATGCAGAAGAAAAAAACTTTAATGATACAGCTAGCTGCTTCATTTGCAGGAAGTCAGACAAAAAAAAAAAGGGTTATCAGAAGCCAGCTGTTATCCACAAAACCCCAATATAGCAGCATGGATAGATAGCCAGCCAATGGTAAATGAGGAATCTAACATTGAAGAATGCTAAGGGGGAAATACTTAAAAAATGTGGGATGATGTCAAGTTGTGGTTCCACATCTGATACAATGGATCACTCAGAGTCTGAGAGTTCATATAAACAATTCATTTAATCAAAACATTCACCTACTACCATCCCCCAGGTTAAAAAAAAAGTCCCAAGGTGGTTAAAAAAGCAATTCACAGGAAAATAAAATTTGCTAGCAAAAAAAATAATAATAATAAGTAATTGAGCAAAGCAATTCTTTGGGGTCTCTCAAAACCTTTCTACTAGAATCTTAGAGCTAACTTGATATTTTCCTTGTCCACAAAACCCATATCTGGGTTCCCAATCTGTCCACCTTGGGGCAAAGATAACTCAAAATATTCCATATATATTCCAGAGCTCCTTTGGTCTCACCAGTCATGACTGGTGTTGTGGTAAACTGGACAGGCTTAACAAGTCTCCCCAATTACTCTAATATCCTGACCCACTATGTATGGGAAGAGTAATTCCACCAATGCAAAGTGATGATAGATCAACTAAACATATGAGCATAAAAAGCTAAAGTTGAAACTGACTTGGGGCTATATGCAGCCATTTCTATCTTTCTCTGAAATCTTATCTCCTATTTTGCCTGGCAATTCTGCTACTGTGGCTCAAGTGGAATATCCTTCAACATCCAGCTCAATGTTTTATGTGAAGAATAGGTATTCTAGGTGTTCAATAAAGCTTGTTGAATGAATGAGTTGACTTCTTAAAGCTGCCTAATCTCACTCATGAGTTTTTGTTTTCAAATAATGACTGCATATTACTGGTATTTATATCAGAAATTAATTCCCTATGTTAGGTAAAACTTTATGGTCATTCTCATTAATTTTTTATATTTTCATATATGAATATCCTAGAGGTATTATGTTTATTCTTCTTGGCCCCAGAGAGAAAGAACACAACCAATAGATGAAAGTTATGGGGAGACATTTTTCCATAATAAAAGAGCTTCAAAAGATTTAGATGTATATAAAAGTGGAACAAGCTGGTTTTGGTGAAACTAAGTCCTTTGTTATTAGAGGAGTTCAAACAAAGGATGAATGACCACTTGTAGGGGCCAAGGGAGATGGAATTATAGGATTGTGTTCTCGGAAGGCATTTAGAGACCATCTCATCTGATCCCTTCCTTTCACAGATAATAAAGTGAGGCACCATAGGTTAAGTAAGGGCCAAATTGATCCAGATAGTAAACAGTAGAGGCAGGATTTGAATGGAGGTCTTCTGACTCCCAATCCGTTGATCTTTGCATTAGACCTTAATCCCTCAGGTCCAGATCAAATTCTATGACCTCTAAGATCTCAAACCTCACAATTCTATAGTAGTCTCCTCCCTCCATATTTTTTAACCTGAAGAGTTGTAATATAGTTGTAATTGAAGCCTGAAGAGTGGGATAGGAAGCATCAATGTATTCTGCTCCAAGGGTTATTGGGTATTGTGATTTCTCTAGGACAAGACAATTTCTACCCATGTCATTTGTAAGTATGGGGCAATTGAAAATCTAATCTATAAAATGAGAGTAATAAAAATAGTATCTATCTCACAGAGTTGTCATAAAGATCAAATAACATGGAAAATGTGTTGCAAACTTTAAGGTGCTCTCTAAGTGCTGGTTATTATTCTTATTACATCATGAAAGGCCAGAAGAAGGCAATGAGCTCTGCATAGGATATAACATGTTCCTCCCATGGAGCTACTGAAAGGGACATGGTCAGAGTTTCTAGTGATCAGAACCACCACTGCTGACAATACTGCTACCCAATGGGAAGCCAAACATGTGAAAGTCTCACAGAGCTGATGCTGAAAAGATTGTAGCTCTTTTTATTTACAGAGA